AGTTATGGGACTTGGTTTTACTGTGATTGTGCCCCTCCTACCGTCTCACTGTGGCTTCTCCTTTGTCCTTGGACGTGGGGTATCTTTTTTGGTGAGTTCCAATGTCTTCCTGTAGATGATTGTGCAGCAGCTAGTTGTGATCCTGGTGCTCTTGCAAGAGGGAGTGAGAGCACATCCTTCTACTCAGCCATCTTGGTTCCAATCTCCCTAAAAATTATTTATTTTTTAATAAATTTATTTATTTATTTTTGGCTGCAATGGCTCTTCATTGCTGCTCATGGGCTTTTCTCTAGCTGCAGTGAGCAGGGGCTACTCTTTGTTGGGGTGTGTACGCTTCTCATTGTGGTGGCTTCTCTTGTTGTGGAGCACAGGCTCTAGGCATGCGGCTTCAGTAGTTGGCACGTGGGCTCAGTAGTTGTGGCACACAGGCTCTAGAGCGCAGGCTCAGTAGTTGTGGCACATGGGCTTAGTTGCTCTGCGGCATGTGGGATCTCCCCAGACCAGGGATTGAATCTGTGTCCCCTGCATTGGCAGGTGGATTTTCAACCACTGCGCCACCAGGGAATCCCTCTCTTATGACTTTATTTTCCTCAACTGCTTGTTGATTTATCTTTACATTAGATGATTCTGGTTCATTTGTCTGTGGATGCTTGCCATAGCTTGCCTCTAGAGACTGTAGGGGAGGGGTAAAGAATGATGGTAGTTAGGTGTGCCAGTAGCTTATATTCAGGGTGTACTCACCGTCCCTTCTGAACATCAGTGGCCACTCTAGAACTGCCCTTCTCTTTGGCATCAATGTCCACAATGGTTTCTTTAGCTTTGGAGCAAATGTCATGGAGTCCCAGTGCTCTACATAAGCAGCAGAAGGTAAACGGACTAAATGGTGCAGTTGCTCTACTTGCTTTCATTATTTTCCCCCTAAAGCTTCTCCCATTTCTTTATCAATTGAGGATGCCTAAATAAATGTGCATTAACTCTGTAGCATCTTCTCAGTACATATGGGGCTGTAGTTTCATCTAATCAGTAATCTGTAATTTTAGATGTCATAAAAGCTCTTATCTACAGCATTATGAATTTTGAAAATTTTGGTCTTTTATGGGATTTTAGATGGAAGAGGAGCTGTACATGTGTGCTTAGCTCACTCTTTTGATAAAATCACTATTCTCTTTTGCAAAAGTTCTTCCTGCTGCTTTTGGGGACCTATTCATCCTCTGTCATCCATTCAGTACAGTCAACTTGGGTCTTCTAATAACATTACTCCTCTGGCCATAGTGACTAATTGAGAGTGGATGACACAAGCACAGACAATAATACTGGGAGGAAGAATGTCTCTTTCTTTTGGAGTTGCTAAACTGGAGCTGCCTCTTTCACGTCTACCACCAGCTGAAGGAAGCCTGTCTGCAGTAGAAGGGAACAAGGCCCTTCAAAAAAAAGAAATGAAAAAAGTCTAGAAGAGATGAGAGACTGAACCACGTGCATGCATACACACACCCACATGTATTTACATACACACTCAATAACACTGTTGACTACTTAGTCCAGCTTTCATCCCCTGCATTTACCAATTAGTGATCTAATAATATACCCCTCACTTTTTTATTAATTATTTTGAGTGGAATTCCTTTCACTTGCACCAAAAATATAAAATGCACTTCTGGCTAACTCATTCACAACCTTTATATTTCCTCTTAGATTTCACTTGTTACTGGAAACCACCCTATTTTATAATTACTTATGTAATCATCTCTCTCCTCTCATTTGACAATAAACTCCTTGAGGACAAGAATCATTGCTCGTCACTCTGTACCCCTAGAACTTAGCACAGGCCTAGAGCACAACAGGAACTGGATAACATATGTGGAATAATGAATATATAATTGTTATAGCTGCATCATCTCATTTTAGTAGATGCCTGGCAGTAGATACCTGGTTAGAACCATGACTTAGGGTATCTGCTATGAGTTTTTTGACCATCATCATTGCTAATATCCAATAGCGTTCTTTGTGTGCAAATATTCACTGTTTCTTCTAGTTTTCAAGTAACAAAAGCAAAGGACATAGCAGTTTCCAAGTTTCTGGTGGGTCCTTAAGGCCAAAGAAAAAATATATTCCTTAAGGAGATTCTGGTTCCCTTACAGTTCTTAAGTCTGTGCATCTGTGGTCTAATTGCATTGTCAAAACAATAGATTTGGAGAGCTCCTGGCTTGGGTGCTTAAAAGGGAATCCTCATCTCTATAAGTAAAATAAGTGTCACACAGTACTTCATCCACTAAGATGGCTACAACTACAGGTATCTGCTGCCTTCATTTTCTGCTCCATTCTGTCATTATTCTAGCTCATTCTAGTTGTTTACTGCCTTTTTCAATGTATATTGTGAACAACACTATTATATGCGAACCATTGAATGAACTACAACACATGCTGCTTACAGAACTATACCTATTAGATTTCTAGATTATGAAAAATCTCAGCTCAAGAATAATGACTTACCGAAAATATGGCCTCTAAGGTGTAACATGAAATGTCTTGTAAAAGGTGAGTAGAAATTGCTAGAAACAATTGTTAAATTCAAAAATACAAATTCAATTTTCTATAAACTAAAACCCAAGAAAAGTATGAATATGATTTATTTATGTTCTCTATTAGTAATTAGAATTAATATTTAGCCATTGTTCTTAGAGGCAATTTACATGTTTTCTTATAATCATCTATCCACAACTAACAAAGAAACTAAATTTCATCAGTGTTATCTACCTTGAATGCTTGCCTGAGATTTAAATTTGGAACATTTATATGGCTGTTGTATGGCCCTTGTTTGGTTCCAGAGCCCTGAGGTCAGTATGAATAACTACATTAGTGGGGCAAGCCTCTGCTTCCTCTATGCAAGTTTGTTAATTTAAAAAAATGGTATTTGCACCAAAGGTTATCAGACACTTCTAAAATGCCATAAAATATAGTATAACACTTGCTTTGGTTAATCCTTTAAAATTCTATGAACGGGTTAATTCTTTAAGACCCAATATCCCTTCCTTAAGGACTTTTTTTTTAATAGCTCTGGTCAGCTTGGGGAAAATACAAAAGACAATAGAAAATAAATGAGCCAATCTTTGCTTTCTCCATTTTATCTTTCCATAAGCATAAATGTCACCTAAATATAACCTTACAATGGAGAAGAAAGGCACGATTGTGTAATTAACAAAGGGAAAAGGGAGTTCTTTATGAAACTTTTTTCTTGATGATTCTAAATGTCTGCATATGCTGCTACTGAAGCCACTATCATTTTCCCAAAGTTTTGCTGAATAGATGAGATAGGATTGTATTCCTAACAGATAATTACTGCAATGCTGTCACACTGTATGATGTAATTCTGACATGGAAACGTTGTCAGTGAAACTTTGTCAAGTGACACCTAATTTAAGCTACAGTATGAGGATACTGCAAAGAAGAAACTTTAAGGTAAGTCAAAAGCAAAAAGGGTTCCTTGTTTTCCTTCAGCTCATTTAAAAGGCCAGCATTAGAACAAGTACCCAAGTGGAGACTGAGACACAGTGACTGAGGTATTTAATGAAGTAAGCAATGTATAAACTGCAGAATAACAATACTAGGGAAGACAGAACATTTGGCACGTTCCATCTGGTTCTTAATATCAGGGAAATTATAAAGATAATGTAAATATCCCCTTATTCACTTTGTTTATTTTTTAATAAATTTATTTTATTTTTTATTTATTTATTTTTGGCTGTGTTGGGTCTTTGTTGCTGCACACGGGCTTTCTTTCATTGCGGCGAGTGGGGGCTACTCTTCGTTGCGGTGTGCGGGCTTCTCATTGTGGTGGCTTCTCTTGTTGTGGAGCATGGGCTCTAGGCGTGTGGATTTCAGTAGTTGTGGCCCACGTGCTTCAGTAGTTGTGGCTTGCAGGCTCTAGAATGCAGGCTCAGTACTTGTGGCACACGGGCTTAGTTGCTCCGCGGCATGAGGGATCTTCCCAGACCAAGACTTGAACCCGTGTCCCCTGCATTGGCAGGCAGATTCTTAACCACTGCGCCACCACGGAAGTCCCATCCCTTATTCACTTTATGTCTGACCACGGCCATTCCCATCTCCTATATTTCTAGGCAATACAGCCTCCTCAAGCAGTTGAGAATCTAAGGAGTACTTCTGATGGCATCTTTAGCCTCCTTAAGATGTTCTCTTACCCAGGATTCATTTCTAGTAAATACATATATGTGATTATATGTAAGGCTGTTCAAAAGTATCTTTAAGTAGACCATTTCTTGTAGAACTGCTATTATATCACTGTCACTGAATCACTTATGTCATATTAAGAGGGGTTACTAGGTCCTGCATTATACTATATGCTGTGTAGAAAAATAGCACATGATCCTTGCCTTCAAGGAAATTACAGTTGGATTATGTTAACTATATCAATCCACAGGAAACAATTAGAAAACCATAAACATGGTGCAGATTTACATGCTTATTGGTGTGCTCAGAGTAGCCAGTATTCAGCAGAAAGAGATCAACTGGAATAAAATAATAGAACATGATTAAAGAGTTTGTCTAAGCCCTTCCTTTGAGATGTGATGCAATTAAGGAAGGTCTGCTTCATTGAGGAAGTGGGATTTGAATTAGGCCTTAAACAATGAGTACACTGAAAATAAATATGAAATTAGAAGAGATTTAACAGAATTAATTTATCTCACTTTTCCTGATTTTATTTGTATGAAGACGTACATACTCTATCCAACTGAGCTTTGTCAAATAATCCATAAATACATAAAGTATACATGATTAACAATGCCTTTAATGCCAAAAGACAGCTTACTTTCTAATCCAAAGCTCACTCTATGTAATTATTCTTTTTGCAAACTACTAGTTGGTTATATTAACACTTGAGTAATCTTGACAAGAAGTTGCTTTAAGCTGTTAAAGATCCAGATGCTGATCAGCATGCATTAAGTGATTCAGCTTAATTGGTTCCATCTAGATAAATTACTTACCTCAGTTCCTATCACAATTTCTTCCCTGGCAGAGAAGAACAGAAATTCATACAGCTTGTAGTGTTGAAATAAGCTGAAATACAAAATAAATGTGGAAAGCTGATACATTTATTTCAGGAAAATAGAGCAAATATGTAAGAATATTTATTACAGGAAAGTTGTTTGAATTGACTAAGCTAAAGACATTAAACACTAATATGAAGTTAGCCACCTCCTTTACTCCAAAATAAGTTGCCCAGAAATGCTAAGAAATTAAAGGTTTATTTTTTTGAGACACTGACAATATAACATAGTACCTAAATTAATATCAGTAAACTAATCTGTGATGAGTGGATAGGTTTGGGGTAGATTTCATCTTGACTTTTCCTGGCTCACAACCAAATATTGCACTGCCTCTAAATAACACCAAACTTCACATTCTATTTCATGTTTTGCTCCAAACTGGAGTCAATTTCCTCTCATATGAATAGCACTGAATTCTATAGGCTACTTCCATATCAATTACTTCTCACATTCTCAAACTGTTTCAGGATTAAGGTAATTTCTGATAACACCCGAAGAATGATGCAACATTAACTGAAATACTTTTTAGATGAATGATTTCCTTGAAGAATATTCCATTACACATCAAGGAGAAGAATTAATTTGAGAAAGATAATTTCTTTAGTTCCTACCCGAAAGACTAAATGGTCAGTGTATAAAAACTATAAAGAACTAAAAGAGCTTAAAAATATATAGTTCAAGTAAGATTAAAGATTTCAGCAATGTGTTACTGAGAGTTAAAAATTTACTGAAGGGTTGACTTCTAATATCCTGTTTGTGATAATATTTGAATTTTTCTAATTCTCTTCCTGCTGTTTGGGAAAATTAATAGACTTATAATACAGCAAAATGCCGAAGAACAAAAAATTATCTTAGTGGTTTCTCTTTCACTCTGGTGCCTTTTGCTATTTAAGAAAATTGATTTTAATATAACTGAGAAATTAACATTTGCAAAATGTAGCTACAGAGCATGTATAATAATGGCTTCTCCTGAATGCTGTAATGGATCAAAGTTTCAATTCATTTGAAATCAACGAAGAAATCCTCAGGCAGCTGGGTCTCTCTGAGTTATATTAGCAGTTGATCTCACTACTAACACAATCCATTAAAGTGATGGATATACAGACTCAGTCATGGTTTGTTTTGTTTTGTTTTGTTTTTGACTACATTCAAATTAGTCATCAACATACAGAAAACTAGCTTAGCTTTTGACATTACTTTGATTTGTTGGCTAGAAAATACAACAAGATTAGTGAAGTTTGATGATTCAATGAAGCAAAATAAATTCAAACTCTCCTTCTCTTACATTGGTTACCTAGAGAAAGCTTCAAGGTTAAAACTATTACATTATCAGTAACTGACTTTGAGTAGAAAAATTGAAGACTGTAGAATATTTTGGAAATAGCTTGGCTTCTTCTCAGTTAACTAGTCTAAAACTTTCCTTTCCCCATCTTGTGTCACACAACGAAGTCAATTCATAAATCTTCCTTCCTGCAATTTCATAATCTTTCCACGTAATTCCCCTTATTGCATACAGTTATTAGATTATCCCATACCAAAAAAGAAATTCACTTCTTACAACCAAAATAAAATGCATGACTTGGATGCAGTGGCCAAAGATACAGGGTTGGGCAAGGCCAGGACTACAGTGAGACATACAAGGGGAGGGGGGGCCACCAAAGGGAGGCACTTACTCAGGGGCAGGTCAAGTCATACCACCATTGCTTTGCTCTGGTCCCCACCAACAGCTGGGGTTCTCTCACATTACCAGGGAGGTATTAAATGGCCTCACATGGGAACAAAGTGACACTTCTGTTATGGGAGTGTATTTTTTCCCTCTTGCTTTGGACTCCCAGCTGACTCAAGCCCCTAGATTATTTTTGTCAGACATCTTGTCTTGGTCCTAAATCAAAGGGAGACTACTCAGAATGAAAATGGTCAAGACATCTGGCTCCAGGCCAGGAATGACATTTGTGTGAAGAGGTGTTCTTTTTTTGTTTTTGTTTTTGTTTTGCGGTATGCGGGCCTCTCACTGTTGTGGCCTCTCCCGGTGCGGAGCACAGGCTCCGGACGCGCAGGCTCAGCGGCCACGGCTCACAGGCCCAGCATGTGGGATCTTCCCGGACCGGGCACGAACCCGTGTCCCCTGCATCGGCAGGCGGACTCTCAACCACTGCGCCACCAGCGAAGCCCCTGAAGAGGTGTTTTATAAGTGTTTTCTTATATTGAGTATATGCCTGTGCACTTTACCTTCACCTGATTTCCAGGGTATACATAGAATATACAATGACAGAAATGTCCTTGAACCAGATACATGTCTAAATGACGTCTTATATTAAAAAGCTATGTATATGTTGCATAAGTAGATTACTCAGTAGCAATGCTGGGGAGGAATTTTGGTATTCATTTTTTCAATTCATAGACACAACATGGAATATACAGTGTAGACTCTATTAAGAGCATCAAATGAAATTTCCATTTTTTTAAGCTTTATTTATTTATTTTTAAAATTTTTGGCCACACAGCATGTGGGATCTTAGTGCCCTGACCAGGGATCTAACCCATGCCCCCTGCATTGGAAGCATGGAGTCTTAACCACTGGACTGCCAGGGAAGTCCCCGAAATTTCAATTTTATTGTCAGTTAAGTTTCATGTGCTATAGGTCATGTTCCAAAATGTGCACTCCCAAAACTGACTAGGGCTTTCACTGGTTGATTAAACTTAATTATCAGGTTAAACTGAAAAATGGTTATACTTTTTTTGATAATTGAGCTAGCTTCATATTTAGAAAACTTTGCAGTCATTAAAATGAAAAGTATTATATGATTTAATTGACATTAAACTTGCATTTGTGGACACACGAGACATTCTGAACAGGTGTTGCAGAAAAGCACATTTCTCTTTACACAACTTCAGAATCAATTCCAGATATCCTACTTACCAGTTGATATTTTAATTTCTGTGACAGAGACACTTAAAACATGTAATTTCTTTGAAATCACAACATAAAGATTAAACACCATAAAAGCTAGTTCTGATTTACTTTATTTGACTAAACTTTCAAATATTACTTTTTTTTTTTTTTGGAGAAGAAAGACTAGGTATTTTTGGTGTGTGAAGTTACCCTGGTTAGGGTCAAAAGGTGACTAACACTGACATCCCCTCTTCACTTAACCATTTTCTGAATGTCAATAAAATGTCAAGAAATACGCTGATGAACATTGGTCCAGAAAGGTGATATGAAAGAGAAAAGAGCTGCCATCTTTCACCATCTAGAAAGCGCATGGGTTTTGCTGCTGTGGTTAACTATCAGTCCTGGTGCCCATTATAAAACCCTTGGGCTGAGAGCTCAGCTGAAAAATGTATTCTGCAAGAGAGACCTGGAAGGCTCAAATGGAGAGAGAAGGGAAAGAAGGATGCTCTACAAATGTGCAGAGAATTCCCCCTGCCCAGTGATTTCCAAACTCTGATGGGCAGAAATACCTTGGGGAACAAGTTCTCCTCCAGCTCTGGGTTTCCACTCCCTTCCCTCCCCCGCATACAAGGATCTCCCTTTAATTGATATGAAGACTACTGTGGCTTTTAGTGAGAGACACACATTAGGAGGTATACTGTAACATTAAGAAGTCGTATTATATCAAATGTTATTACATAAAAATATATCATACACCATTATTAATTCATGCCAGAAACCAGTATATAAACCTTATCATATTAAACACATTAGTGTTTTAAAAACTTCCAGGCTACAACCAGGATCCTTGCCAAGCAAATCATGAGCATGTCTAGACCATCATACAGCACCATTTATTTTAGAATTGTAAAACTTAAAGTTGGAAAGTACTGCAGTATATAGTAAGAGAGGAACAAAGAAATTCTGCAGAACTTTTAGTTAGGCAAAAGAAAGATTTTTACCAACTCTTGTTGAAATATTTGCTAACTTAAAAAATGTCCCTTGGGAGAGATGCAAAACTCTAATGCAGACCTTGTGACAGATCATATAAAAAGACAGATTTCTTAGTTCAACAATGAAGAATCACTGTAAGAAAAATACTTTCCCTCCATCCACCATCATTTTCGAAGCACAAAGAAAGACTTAATGAGTTTAATTGGTCAATACTACAAATATTTCAGGGTATATAATAAATTTGAGGAAGTATGTACATAAATCTCTTCAATTTCTAATACAAAGCATTTAAAATAAACGTTTAAATGGAAATGTTACTCTTTAAAATGTAAAATTTTAAGGTCAAGGTCAACTACCTGTAGTATAGTCTATTGTAATCAAATCTGAATAATCTGAAAGAATCATTTGATTAATAAGAACAGTATTATTTAGAGATTCATAGAAAAAATTCTTAGACAAGAATTATAGATCTAAATGAAATTATGCTTATCAAACATAAACTTCTTTTTAAGAATGCAAGGAAAGGCAAAATGTTCAATGTCCTGGTTTTTATTTATTGGATGGATGATTTGAATATTATCTAATTATCGGTTGGGTTAATTACTGCAAAAATTTTGTAAATGTCTAACTTCATTAAAAATTGAATTAGCTTCTATTTAATAGACATTTTCTAGAAAACATAAAGTGAAAACTAAATGCTACTGAAAAAAGTACATACCTGATTTTCAAGTAATCAACAATAGCATTGGCTTGTTTTACATCAAAGATATTCCATTCCTCATTTTTTTGTGAATGGGATGGTCCTATTTCAGCCATAACTTCTCTGAGCCATTTTATGCTGTCTTCTAAGGACACATGCAGTGCTGAAATAAAATCCAAAGAAGTCTAAATCATTATTTTCATAGATGTTTTGGCAACAAAATAACCCAAGACGTCCTTAATGTGCAACAATTCCATTTTTCAGTATTTGTGAGGACAAATGGTAAAACTATTGCTGTTTGTTTATGCTAATAATTACATTTTATGTAAAAGAACAGGAGCTTATACACCCAACAACTGTAAATTACCTTAATGCTACACAATTGTCTAAAGAGTTTGTTTCCATTTTAAGAACCCTCAATCTATCTAAAGATTACTTTAGAATGGAAAAGAAAATTTTTTTATAATTTTAGATTAAGAGTATAGATAGAAATGACACAAGGTTGGTTGGATTAGCTGGTAAGGAAGGCCTACAAGGTAGACTCAGCCACTGTAGACAGCAGAACCAAACCCAGAGCTGAAAATGTAAATGAACAGAGTCAACTAACACTCGGCTTTAGTTGATTGTTACCATGTGGGAATTTGGGCCTGAAGATTTTCAGTGGATGCCAGAAATATGGACTTTTATGTAAAAATCAAGATTTTTTTTTTTCTTTTCCAAGCTACAGACATAACTTATGTAAGCTGTTTCTCAAATGTATGCCTGATGGTGGTGGTGAGAGCCAGATGATAGTGCAAAAAGAGTGACAGTGACACCACTTTGCCACCATTACCAAAAATAAACAAGTCAATGATTGTGGTCTATTCTCTCGCAATTAAAAGCAAACAAACAACAAAGCAAAACTATCTTCTAAGGCATCTGTCTAGTTGAAAAAGAAGTAGATAGGTGTCAAAAGCCTTGGACTTAAATTTTATAACGTGTATAATACAAACATTAACCTCCATCTTCTTTTCATATTTTTACTTGTGGCAGGCAAATATTATTAACAACACACACACAGCTCCCTGCATCCTGAGGAGAATCCAGGTAACTGGAGTGTCCAAACTGTCCTTTGCTGACAAGTGAGGGGTGTATGGACACGAAACCGAACAGCATGGAGGTGGAGAGTTGAAAGGCCCTAGCAAAAACAAGGTTGGATTGGTTGCTTGGAGGGGGTGATTGTCAGCTGGTGGCCAGGATGAGGGCCTGGGGGAGAACTGTGCTGAACAATGTGAATCCCATCTTCCCAATCCCAACCAAACTTCTGTCTCTCTTAGGAGACCATTAGTAAACTTTTCATGTCTTGTTAATGGGGTGGCTTTTTCAGGGAGGTAGAAGGGGAGAGTGCAGAGGAGTTATGAGAACACAGGCTGATTGTCAGATCCAATTATTTCTGGGTTACATAGCTTCTCTTACTGGGATATAAATGCTAGGTCCCCAAATTACTAATAAAATGACAGTGAAGTAATTTAAAATTTTGGAAGACACTATAAACACCAACTTGTAATTTGTTTAGTCTAGATTCCTTTCTATGTGTAGGAATTAGAAAAGCATAAAACTATATAACAATTAAAATCTGGTTTAATGAATGACAATTAGTCCAATTCTCATGGCCTCCTTCCAGATCCTGTTTTATGTCTGTCAGATACATATAATTATTACTGGATAACTGGGCTTTCCTGTATCATTCTAAGTGGAGTTCAATTATTACTTAATATTTCTTTTTTTTTAAATTTATTTTTTAATTTATTTATTTTTGGCTGCATTGGGGTCTTCATTGCTGCACGCGGGCTTTCTCTAGTTGTGGCGAGCAGGGGCTACTTGGTTGCGGTGCATGTGCTTCTCATTGTGCTGGCTTCTCTTGTTGCGGAGCACAGGCTCTAGGCGCACCGGCTTCAGCAGTTGTGGCTCTCAGGCTCTAGAGCTCAGGCTCAGTAGTTGTGGTGCCCAGACTTAGTTGCTCTGCGGCACGAGGGATCTTCCTGGACCAGGGACTGAACCTGTGTCCCCTGAATTGGCAGGTGGATTCTTAACCACTGCGCCACCAGGGAAGTCCCTATTTCTTTTTCTATGATAAACTTCTTTTGAAAATAGTAAGAGTAATTTCAGAAATGAAAAATCTGTTGGATAAAAGCAATTAAGAAATGAATGGATTAAAAATCTGAATCATTTTATTAATAAAATGGTATTAATTAGAAATGCAGAGAAAAAATTTAGATGATTCTAATTCTAGATGTGATTATACTTATCAAGCACAAAAATAAATTTATATTACTATTTCCTTATGTTAAAATATAACTGACTCTTTAAAATTGTTTTTCTATGTCTAATGTCTTTCTACAGATAATGGCTTTAAAAATTAGGAAAGTTATCATTTCACTTATCTGACTGAAATGTTTGCCCTTTTAAAAATCACATTTAGTGATGTGATTAAAATATGAAAGACTAGACCAATTAAATACTAAGGGCTGTTAGAAATAAAATTTATCCTTGAAAATTTAGGGTAATGAAAGAACATACTAAACTTATAATTAGCTGGAAGATTTAGATTGGTACCTCATAACTGCCATTTACTACCTAGGTAATCTGAGTTTCATTTTCCTTATCTGTGAATGAGAATAATACCAATCCTCAAAATAATAGGGCTGTTGTGAAGATCAAATAAGGAATGCATGGGAAACTCTTGGTAAACTGAAAAGATACATATACATTACATGTATATAGTGCTTTCTAGAATTTAGCCCAAAGCCAGGCACATCTCATGTAGTCAGGAGGATGGGCTCTCGCTCTCTGGGGTTCAGATTTTACCTCTCTGAATCTCATATATTCTTCTCATTTTTAAAATGAGGAGAATAATGGAACTATCTTATAAGACTGTGCATGAATTAAGTGCAAAAGTATTTGGAAAGCAAATGGCATTGTGAGTGACACAAGTTAATTCTGTATAAATGTTAATTATTATTATTATTATTATCATTATCATCATCATCATCATCATCATCATTCCTGTTTGGAGGAAAAACAATTCAACTTCATAGAACTAAAAAGCATTCTATGGTTATTTACCACATTCATGTTATACAGAGGAGAATCAATCTTGGCCCATCGACCTAGATAGAGGCCAAATGCCAAGTCTAATACTCTACATCCTGTCCTTGGTCAGGCCCTGGAAAAACTGAAACTCAAAATGTATATTTTTTTTTTTTTTTTTTTTTTTTTATATGTGGGCCTCTCACTGTCGTGGCCTTTCCCGTTGCCGGACGCGCAAGCTCAGCGGCCACGGCTCACGGGCCCAGCCGCTACGCGGCATGTGGGATCCTCCCAGACCGGGGCACGAACCCGTATCCCCTGCATCGGCAGGCGGACTCTCAACCACTGCGCCACCAGGGAGGCCCCAAAATGTATGTTGTTAAGGGACTTCCCTGGCGGTCCAGTGGTTAAGACTTCACCTTCCAATGCAGGGGGTGCAGGTTCGATCCCTGATCAGGGAGCTAAGATCCCACACGCCTGGAGGCCAAAAAATCAAAACATAAACCAGAAAGCAATATTGTAACAAACTCAGTAAAGACTTTAAAAATGGTCCACATCAAAAAAAAATATCTTAAAAGAAATACATATATACTGTTAAGATAACTACAAATTCTACGTTCCATAATCTTTTAGTTTGATCTACTTTGATTCCAGGTGGGTTGTCTGCAGAATATCTTGCGGATAATGTAGCACAATCTGAGACAAGGGATAGATCGGAAACCGAGTCAGTATAAAGTAACAGTCCCCACACTAGAATTTTATTAGTAACCGTCGGCCACACTACAGCTCACAGCACAAACTGTGCTCTTCGGTGCTTTTTCTATGAAGATGTTGCCGGATGGGATGGGAGTGCTCACTATGTGCTCAGGACTCCACCACCTTAGTTTAAGTATAAACATACTCACCTCCTTCCCTGGCACACTTGGCTAAGATTACATTCTTTCCTTATGGTAACTATAACCTTGTTAGGTCGAAAGGTTTGAGAGGATTTTTTTTTTTTCTGCCAGAAGGAAAACTAGATCCCTTGCTTTTTTCCGGTTAGGTTTTACATACGTACTTTCGCTCTCTCATAGTTTATGAGTACTTGGATGGATCGTGGTCAAGTTTTAAAAATTCATTTTTGAACTGATATCAACAATATAAAGTTTCACATAAAAGAAATTTTCATAAGTTATGTTATGGAAAACATTTAAAATGGAAATCTCTTGTCAAATTTGTAATGTGAGATCCATGAAATTTTTCTACTTTCCTTTATTCTGTTTCTAGTATGTGAATTCTCAGCTCAGAGGTTGCAAAGCTTAAGACTGTCCATGTCATGTGTTTCTTTTTACAATTTAATTCATAGATGACATATTCACATGGTTCAAAAAATATATGTGAAGGTGTACTGTGAGAAGACTTCCTCCAGTCCTGTTGTCCATGTGCCCAGTTCCTATACCCTTCGCACAGAAAATTTTATTAGTTTTTTCTGTATTCTTCCAGCATTTCTTTGTATATATAACAAATAAAGACATAGATAAATACTAATCCTGTTTTATAAACAAAAGAATACAATTCTGCACCTTACTCTACTCAGTAACAACATATGATACCTAGAAAACCTTCCTCATTCTTTCCTTTTTTACCGCTGCACAGTATTCCAATTTAGGAATAGGCTAATCCCTACAGGTAAAGTTTTAATTTTGGAGTAGTTTTAGATTTACAGAAAAGTTGCAAGAATATCACAGAGAGTCCCCATCTACCTCATACACAGTTTCCCCCATTGTTAATATAGCTATGGTACATTTGACACACCTAATGAGCAAATAGTGATATATTATTATTTAAGTTCACCCTTTGGATTTCTTTAGTTTTTACTGAAGTCTTTTTTCTGTCCCAGGATCCTCTCCAGGACACATTACATTTAGTCGTCACGTCTCCTTAGACAGCACAGTTTCTCAGATTTTCCTTGTTTTTAAAGGCTTCGACAGTTTTGAGAAGTACTGGTCAGATATTTTGTAGTATATTCTTAAATTTGGGTTTATCTGATACTTCTGTCATGATTAGACAGGGGTTAAATGTTTTGGAGAGGAAGACTACAGTGCCATTCTCATC